ACACACACACACACACACACACACACACACACACACACACACACACACACACACACACACACACACACACACACACACACACACACACACACACACACACACACACACACACACACACACACACACACACACACACACACACACACACACACACACACACACACACACACACACACACACACACACACACACACACACACACACACACACACACACACACACACACACACACACACACACACACACACACACACACACACACACACACACACACACACACACACACACACACACACACACACACACACACACACACACACACACACACACACACACACACACACACACACACACACACACACACACACACACACACACACACACACACACACACACACACACACACACACACACACACACACACACACACACACACACACACACACACACACACACACACACACACACACACACACACACACACACACACACACACACACACACACACACACACACACACACACACACACACACACACACACACACACACACACACACACACACACACACACACACACACACACACACACACACACACACACACACACACACACACACACACCACACACACACACACACACACACACACACACACACACACACACACACACACACACACACACACACACACACACACACACACACACACACACACACACACACACACACACACACACACACACACACACACACACACACACACACACACACACACACACACACACACACACACACACACACACACACACACACACACACACACACACACACACACACACACCACACACACACACACACACACACACACACACACACACACACACACACACACACACACACACACACACACACACACACACACACACACACACACACACACACACACACACACACACACACACACACACACACACACACACACACACACACACACACACACACACACACACACACACACACACACACACACACACACACACACACACACACACACACACACACACACACACACACACACACACACACACACACACACACACACACACACACACACACACACACACACACACACACACACACACACACACACACACACACACACACACACACACACACACACACACACACACACACACACACACACACACACACACACACACACACACACACACACACACACACACACACACACACACACACACACACACACACACACACACACACACACACACACACACACACACACACACACACACACACACACACACACACACACACACACACACACACACACACACACACACACACACACACACACACACACACACACACACACACACACACACACACACACACACACACACACACACACACACACACACACACACACACACACACACACACACACACACACACACACACACACACACACACACACACACACACACACACACACACACACACACACACACACACACACACACACACACACACACACACACACACACACACACACACACACACACACACACACACACACACACACACACACACACACACACACACACACACACACACACACACACACACACACACACACACACACACACACACACACACACACACACACACACACACACACACACACACACACACACACACACACACACACACACACACACACACACACACACACACACACACACACACACACACACACACACACACACACACACACACACACACACACACACACACACACACACACACACACACACACACACACACACACACACACACACACACACACACACACACACACACACACACACACACACACACACACACACACACACACACACACACACACACACACACACACACACACACACACACACACACACACACACACACACACACACACACACACACACACACACACACACACACACACACACACACACACACACACACACACACACACACACACGTAATACGTGCTATCCGTTAGGGTGAGGGCCTGGTGATCTATAACACAGGGATTACCCTAGTATGGACAACAGTCTCTCACAAAGGTCAAAAATTATCTACAATCGTATTATTTAAGAAATAATGTGAATTTATATACCTTTGTGAAGAGAAAATAAAATGATTTATTATATTATTATTATTATGGGGTATCTATATAGTTTTCTCATCTGGTTGGGTTCTATAAATATATAATTATAAATGAAAATGAAAAAAATAAATATACATAAATATCAATAACATAAAATAAATATAAAAGTACATAAATAAATGAAAGCCCAACCAGATGGAGGCCCTCGGCAGGGGAGACCCGTTTGGTCTTAACCCGAGGGTTAGGGGGAAAGGAAAAGAAACCGGCGGACGATGCGGGCGGTATCGAGGAGCACCGCCTTCTGCATTTGAACCTGGAGCGGTCCGCCACGTAGTCCCAGCCGCCTCAGATGACCCGAGAGGCTGACTGGGATTAGCCCGTTTGCAGAGACGACTACAGGAATAATTTCGGTCGGCAGACCACCCCACATGTCGGTCACCTCGTGAGCCAGGTCCAGATATTTTGTTTGCTTGTCTGTTTCGGCTTTCACGAGGTTCTCGTCATACGGAATGGTAATGTCGACCAAAAATATCCTTGACTGTGCCCGGTCCATCAGCACAATATCAGGCTTATTCGCAAGAATAGTCCTGTCTGTGATGATGGCCCGGTCCCAATAGAGCCTGGCGCGATCATTTTCGAGCACGGCTTCCGGCAAGTACTTGTAATACGACAATTTCCGATCCACGAGACTGTATTTCAGAGCGAGTTCCTGGTGAAGAATTCTGGCTACTAGGTTGTGTTTGTGCAGGTACTCAGAGTTAGAAAGCGCCGAACAACCGGAGACGATATGCCTAAGTGACTCACCGGGATGGCGACAAGCTCGACAGACGTCGACACTCGACAGTGCCATCCTTTAGGATGTATCTCCGATAGTTGTTGGTCTTAATAACCTGATCCTGTATTGCACAGACAAAACCCTCGGTTTCCCCGAAGAGATCACCAAAGCGTAGCCAGTGGAGGGAGGCTACTGTGTCTACGAAAGGCTCATGTAGAGCCTTGTAGAACCTCCCGTGGAGCTCCTTCTCCTTCCATACGGTCTCTCGGTCGGAAATGCTCTGCACTGCCGGGTCTTGCCATTGCTCGTTGGCTAAGGATAGAGGGGTAAGTCCTTTATCACAAGAAATGACGTCCATATAGAATGGATCATCCGATATTGCCAGGAAGTAATCACGGAGGGCTGCACACTTCGCGATTATGCATGGTGAGCGCGCTCAAGAAGCCACGACCACCATGCTTCCGCGGCAAGTACAACCTCATTACCGACGATCTCGGATGATGCATCCTATGGGACGTCATGGTAGTGCAGACTTTTCTATCCAGGGCGTTAAGTTCAGTCTGAGTCCACCTGAGTATGCCAAAGGTATACATGAGGACAGGCATGACCCAGCCGTTATATGCGTGTGCCTTATTCACACCGGACTTTTGTCCGGTGTGAATAAGGCACATGCATATAACGGCTGGGTCAAGGTCGGCTGTTAAGCACTTTGGTCAAGCGTGCATAAAACACGTCGCAAACTTGACTGTTTCATACCAGTCTCATCGATACCGATGTTTTGTGACATACCCAGGTATCGGTATGTTTCAGCCTCGGAAAGGGTTCTTAAGTTGACGGGCATAGATAAGTCTACGCCCTCAGAGTTAGCAACCCTTCCCCTTTCAACATGGAGGACCGCACACTTATCCGTCCCAAGCTCCATTCCAATGGAATTGCTAAATTCACAAGTGATGTTTAGCAATTCCATAAGATGGGAGCGACTGGAGGCGAATAACTTGAGGTCATCCATATAGAAAAGGTGGGTCACTTTTGTCCCTCCTCTCCGTAGCTGAAATCCCCTCCCGGAGCCCTCCAGTAAGGTACTGAGAGGGTTCAGAGAGAGGCAGAACCAGATTGGACTCAGACAATCGCCCTGGAAGATACCCCTTCTTATCCTTATGTGGTTCTCCGCAGCCATCATCCGCTCGCCCAGATGACAAAGGATCGTACTCCACTGCCCCATACACTGCTCAAGGAAGTCTCTAACTGTACAGTCTATCTTGTACAGCTCGAGGACTCTCTCTAGCCATGTATGGGGCACCGAAGTCGAATGCCTTTCTGTAGTCTATCCAGGCGGCGGAGAAGTTCCGACGGTTGCGTTTCACCACTTTGCCAATGACCGCGTCAATGAGGAGTGGTTCCTTGGTTCCACGACCACCGCCCCGACATCCATTTTGAGCGCGCGACATCACCTGATTTGAGTCCAGGTGACAAGTGATTCTCGCGCTCAAAATGGATGTTAGTGTCTTGTATATGGTCGGTAGACGCGTGATGGGGCGGTATTTGCTCGGGTCTGTGGTAGCCTGGTCTTTAGGAACCAAATGAGTGATCCCAGTAGTGAAGAGGCTTGGGAGCGACTTCTGGTTGAGAGCCTCTTGAAACTGTCGGGCAAGCACAGAGTGACACACCATGAACCCCTTCAGCCAGTAGTGATGCAGCCCGTCAAGCCCCGGACTTTTCCAGTTTGGGGCCCTACGGACCGCCTCAGCTACGTCATCCGGCGTTATGATGACGGGGTCCATGGGCGTAATACCCGCACACTGACTCGCCACAACTTCCGTCCAAGGGCCCTCGCTGTGGTTTACGGGCTCTGACCACAGGCCGCGCCAGAATGCTACAGTGTCGGCCTGATTCGGTGCTGGACCCGTTCCACTTACCATTGGTCGCTCCAATGATTCATAGAGCCTCTTCTGATCACTCTGGAAGAGACGATTCTGGTTGAACCGTGTCGACCTCTCGGTATATCGCCGAATCCGTTTTCCCCAAGCAGCGATTCTCTGCTTCAGATCATCTATGCGCTCCGTCAGTTTTTTGCGTTATATCCGGCTGGGACAAACTGACATTTGTCCCAGCAAACGCCATCCTGACGGTGCGCACAATTCTTGGCCTGTTGTTGCCTGATCTGAAGCATATCAGTCTGCCGATGAGAGCTCTAGCCTTTGCGATACGTTCCTCAATTCTTCTTCTCCATGCTGGGATAGCGCTACTATGGCCAGTAGCACGTCCAGCCGTGGAAACCTTGGCGCCTATGATACGGCAGACTGCCAGCGCGGCGCCAAAAAGAATTGAGTCCGTCTCGCAAAGGTCCCGGCTGGCTTCCAAATAGGTCACCAGCATTGGGTTCAGAGCCCTCACGACAGCCTGATTCCGCTTTTTATTTATTATTTTATTATTATTATTATTTTATTATTATTATTATTATTTTATTATATTATTATTATTATGTTTTTTATTTATTTAAGTGCTGGTGGTTCTCGTGTGGGTCCCATATAAAGTTGATCAAGATATGACCAGTAGTTTTTGAGTTATCCTTAATAATGCGTATTTAATTGACTTCGAACACATTGATGATATTCTAATTTTATTTATATTGAACTCGGTTGTACAAAATTTTAATTTTACCACTTGTTTGGGGCACAAACCGTAGATTATAATATAGTCGGCAACAAAAGAAGTCGGGAAAAGGATATGTTGAAAGATCTTGCGGGGTATATTATTCCCCGTTTATTAAAACGTTTATTAAAATTACTAAGTACACCCTTAGTTATCTATAAACTCTCTTACTCCTAATTCAACTAGCAATTTATATAATGTACTATATGATGTTTACTTTTTAAATTTGTATTCGGGAGTCACTGACGATTTATCAATTCTGCTATTCTAATGATGTGTTCACACTTGAGTGAGTGTGTTAATATCATGGCTATTTGATTAGTTACTGTCTGTGCTGTATGTTTTCCAACGGATTTCCTTTTCATCCTTTGGAAGGAGCGGTATAAACATTTTTCGCGTATGAACTTTTGGGATTGATTCATGTTACAGTTTATATAACTTTATTATGGTGTTAGAGCTCCTGTTTTGTCTTGATGTTGAGATGTTCTAGCTGCTTCAATAGTGCAATGTACTCCGTTTACTCCGTACGTCACTTATGAAAGCGCATAACTATACAATAAATTGCCTGTACATATCAAGGAAGCTAAAAGTATGCTAACGTATAAACCTGTTAAAAATAGCCTACAAAATCACAAACTATAATAACGCCCTAACTACTAAACAAAAAACAACTCACAAAAAAAAAAAAAAAAAACCACACGTTACAAAAAAACATTCATATTAATAATTAATATAATATAACAATATTACAAATAATTCTTGTTATGATGGCTAGTCAATTCTAGTAAAGCATATCTGTGTTCACTTGCACCATTTGTTTTTGTTTGCACGGGCGATCTTCAATCGTGTTATGATGGTAAAATTTCTACCCGCACTATTTATATATTTTTGTAACATAAAATATTTGTGTACTTTGCCTGGCACGCTCGGTGACCACTTACTACCTAACACTCATTATGTATTTTATTTTTAATGTATTTCTCATTTAAGTGAATTTTTGTAAATTCTTATGAGAATAAATGTCCCTGATCCCATTTCTTCTATATATAGATTTGGTAAACGAATTATCTGTTGACCGTCCTTATACATGCGCCCTAACCACCGTTTATCTAATAGTTACTGCGTGACCCTAACTCATGGAAAATAATTCTCTGTCAAGGCCGAAAGGATATTGCTACTGAAACAATTTTTATTAGTGTCATTGGCCTCAAAATATGCAAATAACATATTAAAACTATTAGGGTGATAACACATGTATGTGTAGTTTATTATATCTTGTACTTTTTACGTGGTAGAGACACGCTGCAGTTATATTATTGATGAGCACGAATGTGTCCGCGCTCTTATAGAGTTCCAGCGTAAATAGTAGCCTAATGCTGCTGTGTGGAGAACCTCAACCCTTAGGGGTGACAACGCATCTGCATTTTGATTCTTAATGAAACAGAAACTTTTTTATTTAATGTAGATTATAACAATACTTATTGAAAGTCACTTTTCACTTACCACTGGTTCGCAAAAAAAACCTCTGTCCTGGGAAGAACCAGCAAGAAACCCAGCGGGACTATTTTTTTTCCAATAATAGCTTACAATCATGTTTACAATTAACAACACAAGACAAATTAGAAATAGCTTGGTAGCGATCACCCTTCCCAGGGGTTATTATCATCCATAAATTCCTTAATATTATAATAACCCTTTTTATACAAACTTAGTTTAATAACATTTTTGAACTTTGTGTATGACAAATTTTGTATATTTTCTGGCATTTTGTTTGTAAAAGCGTATACATCGCCCCAAGAATGAATTACTGACTCGGTGGAGTCGAGTAACTGGTACTACTAGCTTGAGTCTGCTCCTAGTATTTACAGAATGAATATCACTTATTTTTGCAAAACTACTTTTATTTTTGTGTACGTACAATTACATTTTCATAAATGTACAGAGAGGCCAGAGTTAATATATTGATTTCCTTAAATTTTTGCCTCAGTGACTCTTTTGGTTTTAAATTATATATTGCTCTAATGGCCCTCTTCTGCAAAATAAATATAATTTCAGTGTCAGTCGCGTGTCCCCATAGCAAAATACCATACGACATAATGCTATGGAAATAACTAAAGTAAACTATTCTAGCTGTTTCAACACTGGTAAGAGTTCTAATCTTTTTTACAGCATATGCTGCAGAACTAAATCTGCTAGCTAGTTTTGATATATGGGGGAGCCATTTACGTCCAGTGTGATTCCAAGAAAAATGGTGGTATCAACAAGACTCAGTTCCTCCCCATTTAAAATTACATTAGTATTGACATGTTGTTTAATTGAAAATAAATATGATGAGATGTCTTTGGGCCACAGTATCAACTTACCATCAGGTGGTCGGAGCTCGTCTGTCAATCTTATTCTATAAAAATAATTTACTACGACCAGTATTTATTGTTGATTGTAGAATTTTCTAATTAAAGCTTAGGAAATAATTACTAATTACACCAAAACTATACGTGGTAGAGCCATGCTGCAGTTGTATTTATAAATAGTTGTAGCACGAATGGGTCGGCACGACCGTGAAAGGACCACGCTCTCACAGAATACCAGCTTAAAATAGTTGCTTAGTGCTGCTGTGTTTCGTATGGTGAGTGTAGAGAACCAAAGACCCTTTTTACTGGAAACGAGGCATTCCACCTAAGTCCTCAGTGGTGACAACGCATCTGCGTTTTGATTCTTAATCGAGGATAAATGTTTATGGACATATCATCCACTTACCATCAGGTGGACTGTGAGGTCGTTTATCATCCTTATTCTATAAAAAAATGTTCAGCAGTTGAATTTTATAAGCTGTAACTGAAGGATGGACTGCCTCCATCTTACCGTTATAGAAATTTTCATAGGGATCTTTTATGGTAACATTTAGTCAAGTAGTTTTTTAATATCTATCGTTTGTTTTGTACTGAATACGAAATAATTATCTTCCTAAACCCCTCTACCGACACGACATCAATAAGCGAGGGACTGTGTTGGATTTCCTTACCCTGTAACCGCAGGATTTATGTTACTGAGATCAAATAATTGAATCAACTGCAACAACAAATAAGGATTGGATGTTTTCGTTTCCGATTTTGGCCAGGGAGCAAATTTCTAGTAAAGAATTTTAAATCACACATCAGTTATACATATTGTAACAGTTTTTGCCCTAGAATACTATAATACACAATAGAATGGCTGTCAACCTTACTTTGTAGGAGGATTGGACGTTGTATTATCAGTTATCACTACTACAAACACATTTTAGACTTTTGATTAATGTTTTTGACACATAAATGTTTCTTATTTTTGTTTCTAATATTCACAAAATATAAATAGTTTCGACTTACTGGTTGTAGAATATGTCTCCTTTATTTAAATTGCATTACCCGCTGTTCTTTCGACACATAATTATTGCACAATTTGCCATTTTTTAAATAATTTGCATGCAGCGACGCTTGAAACGAAAATTGGAAACGGAAATTGAAAAAATTTATTGTGTTGACATTTATACGTGTGAATTGACGTGTTAGTGACATGTTAGCGGGCTCCGCCCACTCCCCCATACTATTATGTATGTATTATAGTATTCTATGGTTTTTGCAGTGTTAATTACTCGTCGTCACTGATGTATGCGATGCTTTTGAAATCAGTTTTAAATACGGTATCGGGGTTTGCAAACTGGCGACCCGCCCCGGTTTTACCTGGGAAGAATCTTTTAATGTGACGTTATTTAGATAAAAAAAAATAGTCTAAGACCATTTACTCTTTAAATGTTCCGTTTTTTTTAAAATATCCTTAGCTTCTCCGATCAAATGTAGCCCAGATCACTCCAAACATTGCTTTCTATCTGTTCTTGAAGTTTCATTACAATCGTATCAAACATACAGAGAGACTAAAATTATTATTACAGTAGGAAAAACTTCAAATTGAAAATTGAAATCGACGAGGACTAAAATATATTTTTTCTGTCGGTTATATTATACACATAAAAGTAAAGTTGCAGCTTTTATACGTGGACAATAGTGTTGGGCTCAGGCCTCTACTCATTTCGAAGAGAATTTTGTTGATGTTAGTGCACTGCTCTAGTGCGTGTTCGCGGATTTTACATAGCTTCTAAATATTTTTATTCTTCACACCTGCATCAGTACTTTAATTTTAATAGTAACTGTAAAATAAAACACTCGATTGTTTAACGTCCATGCACAAGCTTTGCCCAATCTACACACTCTTTTGACATATCTTATAAGTAAATGCCACCCATCTACATACCATATATATAATTTTACAGTAATAGCTACTGCCTCGTTGGTCTAGTGGTTATTGTTGTGCGACTGGCGATCATGAGGTCCAGGTTCGAATCCCGGGTCGGGACAAGAATCAATTATTGAGTTTTTCCGTCAAGACATTCTCAGTAGCTGCCCGGATTCAGGAATTTCGCGGTGTCTCACCCCCGTGTCTCGGAAAGCACGTAAAGCCGTTAGTCCTTACACTTAATCTCTCTCCGGTCGTTTCGGTTTACCGTCCCATCGGATTATGATGAGTGAGGGAATAGAGAGTACACCTGTGCTTGTGCATTGGGCACTATAATCCTGTGTCCTGCGCCGATGGCTAGTCTCCGTTGAGGCTGGTCGCCGTGACCGAAATTCGGTCTGAAGGACATTATTACAGTAACAATTTACAGTACGCGGCCAACCCGTGTTGATCCC